GCTGGGAAGGCAGATCTGTGCAAAGGCCCTGGATTCTGTCTTCCATACCCAGAATGTCCCCTCAAAGCTTCTTGTGCTCAGAGGTGGAGCTTTTGGAAGGTGACTAGATCATGGGATGCTTGCTATACTCATCAGTGGATTCACCTACTAATGAGCTCAGCAGCTGAATGTGCTGTTCAGTGCTATTAGGTGGAGGTAGGAGGTGGGGCACTGGAAGTCACTGGAAGGTGCACTCTCATCTCTGCTCCCTTCTCTCTCTGCTTCCTGGCCATGATGGGATGAGCAGCATTTCTCCACCAGGCCCTTCCACTATGCCATTTCTGACTTAGAGGCAGAGCCAAAATAAACCTCTCCTTTTGTAAGTTGTGGGTACCCAGTACTTTGTCCCAGGATCTGGCACATGCAGGTTGCATGCAGGCTTCGATTTGACTGTGTGTGGCAGGCACAAGAGGCAGAGTTAGCACTACACCGTGCCCTTCCCTACACAGCACTCCCCTGTCCCCTATTCAGTAATGCAGGCAAGCATGAAAAAGACTGAATAATGATGTTAGCAGTTTACAATATCATGGGGCCTGTGCACTGCCATGAGTTGGACACACCTGGCCCAGCATATGAATTACTTTATATAAAAAGACCAAGAAGGCCAAATCTGCAGACTGAAAGCAGATTAGTGGATGCATGGGCTTGGAGGTAGTGATGGAGACTGAATGCTAATAGTCATGAGGAATCTTTTTGGAGAGATGGAAATGTTCTAAAACTGGAGCGTGAGAATTTTTGTGTAACTTCAAGTTTACTAAAAAAGTCATTGTACTGACCCTCTAAATGCATGCATTTTACAGTATGTAAATTGTACTCAATAAAGTTATTAGGGGGGAAAGCTGGGCACAGTGGCATATGTCCATAATCCTAGCACTCTGGGAGGCTGAGGTTGGAGGACTGTTAAGTTGGAGTCTAGCCTGGGTATCTTAGTGAAACCCTGTCTCAAACTAAAATATAAAATCAGGGTAGGGATACAGAACAGTGTGAAAGCCCTGGGTTCAATACCTAGTACCATGAAATAAATAAAGTAGAACTGTCTTTTACATCATTAAAATTACTTCTTTATACTCATATCTCTACATGCTAGAAAAAATATGGGAAGAAAGACTTAAACTAGAACATCTAGTATGCTTATCTTTTTTTTTTTTTTTTTTTTTTTTTTGTACCGGGGATTGAACTCGGGTCCTTGCGCTTGCAAGGCAGGCGCCAGAACCACTGAGCTAAATCCCCAGCAAGTATGCTTATCTTTAACAGAATACAAAAATGGAAAAATGCTATATTTAGGAAAAGAGCATCTTTGCTTAAACCACAAATCTGAGAAATAGATTATACAAGACATTTTATTATAAATGTCTAACCCTGTAAAACCATGAGTGACGAAAAAGAAACATACTTAAAGGCAAATAGCATTCATTTTGCAATTCCTATTAAAGATCTCTTTCTTGAACATCATCTGTCTAATCATCCATTTTTCAGAGAGCTGAAGTTCATTCAGCTGTTCTTTCAATAAATTTAAATATTTTAGACCTTTAAGGCACCTCAGATATATAGTCAAAGACAGCTTAAATCTCTTAATCTTGATTGCTCAAAACTTTGGGGTTCTCAAGCACTCTTTTCTCCTACAGTCTTCCCCAGTGGCCCTTCTTGTCCCTTCTCTTCCCATTCTGGCTTTTCTTTTGTTCTCTGGCATCTACTCCTTTGACATGCCAACTGCTAGCTTCATTTCAATAGTCAGCCCTTTCTAGGTTGAATGGGGAAATGTGCCCTGCTGTTTACCCAACTTGCCCAGCTCCTTGATCCCACAATTTAGCTCCAATTCCATGCATCAGCATTTTCAAAGTAACACCATAGATCTTTTACAAAATTCCTTTTAACAATTTCTTATAGCCCCACACTTAGAAGAAATTCACTTCCTTTTCTGGCATATTTAGCACATCCACTATCACAGTTATAAGAATGGCGAAAGTAGACGGAGAGGGTGTGAAGAAAGTGAAAGAATAAAGCTATGTTAGTGAGACAAACAGTGACAGCAAACAGCATTGTTGGCAGTGGTGGGGGAAACGTTTTCTCATATACTAATGGTACAGTGGAAATCCAGTAGGCATTTGGCCTTTTGTTAATTTTTTTTCTCATTACCAATGATTGAACCTAGCCACATGCATGCTAAGCTAGTGATGTACCACTGAGCTACATCCCCAGTCTTTTATTTTATTTTGAGACAGGATCTAGCTAATTTGCCCAGGCTGGCCTAGAACTTGTGATCCTCCTGCCTCAGCCTCCCGAGTACCTGGGATTATATGCAGCTTGGTTATATCCTAAATTTTAAAGCCAGCATATTGCTGGACAGTTAAATGCATTTTCTACCACTGTATTTCAAAAATACTTAAGCCAATACCCAACAATATCTCTACATCATGACATTCACTGTATTATTTGAATTGTTCAGTAAACTCTGTAAGCTTTATGTTCCACAAAGGCAAGAGATTAATCTGCTTTGTTCATCACAATATATCCAGCTCCTTGAGCAATGCAAAGCACAGAGGGGGTGTTCAATAAGATTTGCTGCGTGAATAAATAAATGATAAGAGCTCTGAGAGCTGGTTTATCCCTGGATCTCCGAGGATGTTTAGTAAGCGAAGAGCAAACTTTTCATCTGGACCGGTTTACTTGAGTTCACTGGTCATGCTGTACCCTCAGGTATTATCAGCTGTCCAATACATGTTGCTGATCATCACAGCAAATGGCAGCGGGATTTGAATACTCAGTATAAACTAGTAACAAAACAAACGCGCTACTGCTCTTGAAGCCAGTGTCATGCCCATATTAGTGGAAAAGGATTCTGGCTTTGCTGAGTAACCACAGGTAGGCCAGATGTTTTTTTCTTCAATTTAGCTAATTTTACTGGAAAAAAAAAATCTGTCATTACTATACTTTATGTTTATTTTGGTTTGGCAAATATAGAAGACCTAATTTTCAGAGTAATAATTTGAGGCTCTGAAACGTCCAAGAGTAAAATATCCATTTTTGTCACAGGGCTCTGCAAGTTATATAACTTGACCTTATGTGATAAATAGCTTTTCAGTGATGGAGGAAATCATGAAAGAAAAATACTGGTCATACTGAGGTTGTGATAAAATATGACCTTTCAAAAGCCCAAAATAACATTGCATCATAAAGACACATGAGGGCACTCTAATCAACTAGCAAGGAGAAACACAGAGAAGAGGGAAATCACGTTGACATTTTAACAATCATATTGCATCAAGGACTGGTAAAAATCTGAAAGCTTATAATTCACTGCAAGAGATTTTCTGTTCTTGATCCAAGTTCTAGAAACCAAAAGGATTGTACAGTTCTATAAACTGGAGAGAAAGAATCCAACATTCTCAGACCCAGGTGATGACTAACCACACCCCTTTCTAATGATTTATTAAACGGACCTCAGGGCAGGATTTGCCCTGTCCAGGCAAAGATCTTCCACATAATCTACAACTGCAATTGATGTTCTACTTGTCCTCCACTGGGAGTAGTCCATGAATTCATTTCTTTGCTCCATTTGTTTTCCCAGGAGTAATGGGGAGGTAAAAATTTGCACCAGCAAAAATGCAACAGCATGGCAAGAATGAGCACCCATGATTGAACAATGTATTTCATGGCCTTCTCAAGTTTTTAAATTTGTACATACAACTACAGCATAAAATTTCCTCTATCAAATCAATAAATGCAGTATAATACAGACTTAAATGACTTTCTTTCAGACCTTTAACAAGCGAGTAACAATAGCTCTGAAAAGAGCCTTGGACACTGAGGCAATCAGTCTCATTCACAAAGGATTATCATTAATCTTCAAGTTACATTGAAATTTGTGCTTTAGCAAAACTATAAATAATTCCATTGTCATAGATCTTTGGGGTCAGATGTAATACTTAAAATGGAAAGCAATGAAACTTTGAACACCAAGGGTATACTGCGGTTGTATAATGAATCTTTGTTGACTTTCCATCTTTGGAACTCTCTAGGAGGTACACATGCTGCTTTCTTGAGCTTCTTACTATCTTGTTCACTTTAATCTTACGTTTGAATGACCAGATATCTGGCCATAATGTTTCAAACTCAGTTACTGCCAGTGTACTTAGTATTTTTTGTACTGTGATCTTTTGAACTCTATAGCTTCTTTCCTAAACTGAACTGGCCATCAGGGTGTACCCAGCCTACATGCACACCCAGCTATGATCTAAAGTGTACTAATTTTGAAGAGATATCTCCAATTTTCTTGTTCTAAAATGATTTTAACTGAAAATATCAAATGAACTTTCTTGCCTGAATAATGTCAAATAAACCTGCCTGAGCTAGGAATTTAGCTCAGTGGTTATGCTGCCTGCCTCGAAAGGGCAAGGACCTGAGTTTGATCCCCAGTGACCACCCCCTCACAAAAAAAGATGTTCTAAACCTGCCTGAATACTGCATATTATACTATAGAAAGTCACTAAAAACCATTTGAGTTGGTAGTAAGAAGGAGATAATCAAATATTTCATTTGACAGTCATTGTCTTTGTATGAGTGTGTGAAAAGCCACTGAGAAAGTGATGTGCAAAGGTAGAGAACTATAAATGGTGTCATGGAAGCTAAATCTGGACAGCATAAAAATGTCTAATTTAGCCAGGCATAGTGGTGCATGACTGCAATCCTGGCACTCAGGGTGCTGAGGCCAGCCTAAGCTACATGGTGAGTTCAAGGCCAGCCTGAACAGTAAGACTGTGTTTCAAAAAGCAAAACAAAAATAAATAAATAAAGTCTGATTTTGTTCAACTGGTGTGCTCTGACAGGGGCCTCCTTGATTATCAAGTTTCCAAACTTTGATTTTGCTTTTTTACCAGTGACACTTTCTTGGGGCCAATAACCCTTTTAAAGATCTTAACTGAACCAAACACAAATTTAAAACTAATCTGAAAATAGCTTTGATTGCTCACTCCGGCAATACATATATAGAAAGTGGAACGAGGCAGAGAAGATTGGCATGGCCCCGTGCAAGGATTACACGCAAATCTGTGAGGTTCCATAAAATGTGTGTTCCATATTCTTGTGATCATTATGTATATCTAAAATGTACCAATAAACAATTTTAAAAAATACCTTTGAATACCATTTCTCAGTATGCATTCTACCATCATTTCTTGAAGATGCCCTAACACTGTGCCAGGCCCTGCAGTATGCTAGAGTCCCTGCCATCACTAAGCAACAGACTCCTATCAGGGAGACTTGGGTTCAGATAGTGACTATCACTTTTCATCCGTGTAACTATTTAATCTATGAAACCACCCCAAAGAGTCCATTTTTTAATCTGTCAGATGGGAATACTTCTTTCGCTGTTGTTGGCTATTTGAAATAGGGTCTTTTGCTATGTAGGGTAAGCTGGACTTGAACTCACTATGCATCCCACACTGGCCTGAAAGTTGTGATCCTTCTCCCTCAGCCTCTGGGGTGCTGAGATTATAAAACTGTAACTATCAAGCCTGGCTACAAATGGAAATACTGTCATCTATACCAAAAGATTAAATAGGACACTGCCCAACAAGTGTCTAGCAAACTGCTTGGCACACAATGACTGCTCAATAATGGGTAGCAATAATTCTTTTGTTGTCATTGTTCATTTTGATTTTTTGTTTTTGAGACAGTCTTGTTATGTATTTTAGGCTGGCCCTGAACTCACTATGTAACCCAAGCTGCCCTTGAATTCATGGCCATCTTCCTGCCTCAGACTTCTGAGTGCTAGGATTACAGGTGTGTGCCACCAGGCCTGACTAAGTATTCTTTACTCAAGGTTATTGCTTATTGTAATCTTGTTTATTTCACTTTGTGATCTTTTCTCAACAAGGATTACCTTGACAATCCTTTGAAACTAGTTATTCAACTATTATTTAGGGAAGCCAACACATATGTGTCAGACTATAGGTGACATAAAGGGGACAAACACAAAACCCATTATGGGCCCTACAAACAGCAAGTGTGCCATGGAAGCATATAACAGGGGTATCCTAATTCAGAGAAACCTTGAAGAAGTGCTAAGCAGAGACCTGAAATATATGAATATGTTAGCCAGGGCCCCCTAAAAAAATATTAATGTGACAAATAATAGAACATATTCAGAGTTCCACAGACAAACAAGAACAGAGTAAGTTTCAAGGAATTGGATGGAAGTTGTCTGATAAATGACTGGAAGAGAAAGACAAAAGAGGGCTAAATGTGGGGTGGAGAGACAGTCAGCGTCATATTCTTCAGGACCAAGTCAATCCAGTTAAGAAGTGCAATTTCACCCTCAGGGCAAAAGAATCTACCATATGAGGGTTTCATAGAAGTCTGCAATGTAAAATAACTGCTGGTATTCAGAGTACACAGGGAGGTTGAGACGGTCTAGGGTGCATGCAGGAAGACCAGTTAGAAACTCTGGGTGAATTCCAAGTGACAAGTGAAAAGAACACGTATAAAGGCAGTTTTGGAGAAAACAGAAACATACCAATCTAAGAAGCTTTCATTAAGAGGTGAATCAAGGAGATCCGATCATTAAGTTGTGAGCAGGGAAAGATACTCAGAAAAGTCATAATCTCAAAAACAAGAATGTACTCAATAAATGTACATGTTTCATGATATATATATGTGTGTGTGTACGCGTGTGTGATCCTAGGGGATCAAACTCAGGGCCTTGTACATGCTGGGCATTCTTCCACTGAAACGCATTCCCAGAACCTATGATATAAAATTAAAAGTCTACCTTACATTCTTGTAGCAGTACGCAAAGGAAGCAGTATATATGTCCACTGACAGATGAACAGATAAAAACACATTTATACTTTAGGGAGTACTATTTTGCCATAAAGGAAAGAGATCAACTTGAGGCATTCACAGACAAATGGACACAACTTGAGAACATAATGTTAAGTATGTTAAGTGAAATAAGCTTAAATACTGCATGGTTTCTTCTACATGAGAAACTAAAAAAAAAAAAAAAAATCGCGTGTGTGTGTGTATGTATGTGCAAAATAGAAAATAGAAAGAAGTTGAAATAATTCTGCAAATGATCTATTCCATTGTTTTAAAAATATTTTAGTATCTATGCAAATGTTTCTAAACTATTAGTTTCTCTTAGTTCACTGAAGAGAAAGTTTTGTGCTTTAATCTGTTTCTTCTCTGTAGAGAGTCTTTTTGTGTATAATTTGTACTCTAACATTTTGGCCATTCTTTTAAGATTATGATACAATGTATTAACTGTTATTTTTTATTTTTTATTTTTTTTGGTGGTGGGGGAGGGACCTTGTGCTTATGAGGCAGGCAGCAGCACCACTGAGCTAAATCCCTGGCCCATTCTTGAATTATTTTGTTATAAAATTTTATTTTCTCATAGTGTCTCTTCCTTTTGCTGCTTTTTAACCTTTGAGCCAGATTCTACGCAGTTCTATACACAGACATGTTGATTCCCTATTGGAAATAGCACGCTTCTTTCTCTTTGTCTAACTCTATCTGTATGTTCCTTTAGCAGCTGAGCATCTAAAGTCCTTTAGTCACATCTTAAGGCCCAGACTGAACCACAAGGCCAGGATGTTTGCACAGGATACAAAAGTAATTCAGCAATTCCTGGTCTATGGAACATTAGCAGACTTTAGCCCACCCAAGCAGATGAATAAAAGCTTGCTGTTCCCTTTGTTATAGAAGCAGTCTGACCCCTCTTTTTTAATCAGCTGAAGCCTATGTGTTTGCAATAGTTGGCTTGTCTCCTTTCCAATCACAACTGATAATAATAAGAATTATGCATAACAGATCATCTATCTTTAAGTACCAAAGGATTTTCAGTATATAAGAAATGGTTTGGAGGTAAAGAATCAGGTAACATCAATAGAACATGTCCTTTTCCTCTCAGGCATCTTTTGATTGTTTTTCTTTTGTTTTGTTGAGAAGGGTCTTGCTAGGGTCCAGGCTGGCTTTGAACTCCGGATCCTCTTGCCTGAGCCTCTGGCATGTGTCACTATGCCCAACGCACATTGTGAATCTTAAAGGAAAAGGTAATTTTCTTTTTTCCCCTTCCACATTTTCACATCTCTAAATTAATTAAGCAGGATTTCATGAGCAAAGTATGTGTAAAGTAAGCCTTGGCTCTCTGATACCATCACAAGTGAGTGTTATAAAAAATGTCCCATGCTTCCCTACTTCCTTTAACTGGGCACACCAAACACTGAGGACATAGGGTCTGTGTTCAACTATTAAGGTGCCAAGTTCTTTTGACTCTATAAGCTGAACTCTTCATGGAAGATCCTATCTTTTGTTTGTATGTTTTGTTTTTATGCTGGAGATTGAATGCAGGGGCTCATGTATACAAAGCAAGCATTCTACTGCTGACCTACAACCTTAGGCCCCTACTTATCCTTAACAGTTCCACAGCTGCTTTTCAGGATGCTCTCCTTACTTCTCTAGCCATCCGTGGTCTCAGTTCCCAAAACCTCGAAATGTCTGTATTTCCCCATGAACACAGTCCATTCTAATTTTGGCTAGCTTTCATGTTTTACTTCCCTAGGTTGCCTGTTTCTTTGAGGTAAAGGCTGTAACCTTCAATTCTGCATTATGTTTAGCACACCGACCAGAGGGAAACTGATATTCTTAAAGTTTACTGACCTACATCCCTCCTGTTACAAATGGCTTAAAAGGAGTGTTTTGGAGTTGAATCTACTTTTAATACTTTCTCTGATTTCTCAGGAAACACCTAGTGATTATCAAGTGGGAAAATCATATTTAAATTATTATATGAATAGGAAAAAGAAAACAAATCTTTTATTTTTATATAACGCAGAAAATAAAGTTTGACACTAACTTGGCTGCAAGAACATGATTTTCAAAGGTTGAGAAACAGCATTTCACACCTGCATTTCTATTCTCCTAAGTATGTTATTAGTATTTCAATACAGCTGTATAAACTAAGTCGTTAACAACTACATGAACACTGGGAATAAAGTGGATCAAAACAAAGGTCTGAAAAACTGTCCTATAAGCCAAGCGTTGGAGTTTGGGATGCAAAGACTTTCTTTTCAAGGAATACAAGCACGTTCCATCCAGCCCTGTCTCATGTGGTCCTCAAAGAGCTAAAAAATGTAATGTTTTAACACTTTCCTCTCTGCCCATCCAAATCGTGGTGGGGTTTAAGACTCAAATCTTCCAAGACCACGTCCTGGTCACAAGTTTCTCTGAATTCTAAGGCTGTTGGGGTCTGTAGCAGGAAATTTGAACAAGTGACCATGTAATGCCCGTTGTTTTCAACTCTCGGTTGGGATCGAATACATTTTCTTAACAACTGCAGGGTAACTGGCTACTCAAGTGCTTACTGCATGGCAAGTTTTTTAACAGCCTATTATAACACTCACGTGGAAGCTGAGAAAAAAAACCAAGGTTAGTTCACAGAGCTTAACTTTAACTCGCAGGTGATAAAGATACGTCAGTCAACCTCACATCTGACTTTACAGACACGCCAAAGAGTGATTAAGATCTTCGGACAGCTGAGAGGGCTGTAGGGTGAGAGAGGGAAATCAAACGTCAACCATTAAAAAAAAAAAAAATCAGCTTTTCTCAGTCCACTTCACTATCCAGTCCCCCAGCTGTCAACCTATCTTTACGACAGTTTCCTGCCTCAGGTGGAAACAACGAAGTCCGAAAGAATATGGCATCATCTTTGCCCTCTGACCGAGCATCGAAGACTTACCAATTTCATGTTGGAGTTTTGGATGTTTAATATCAGTCTCACCACTTCTTTAGTCCTGGAAGCGTCTTCCGGTCTAATCGCCGCCGCCGGCTGCCGAGAGCATCGCGGGATTTGCAGTTTTTCTTCCTTGTGCCCCTTCCCGAGGCTTCACGGGATGTGTAGTTCTCCCCAGGCATCATGGGGATCGTGGTCATCTTTCCCTTCTCTCCCTTTCCCTTCTGAACGCCTCCTTCCGTCAACTCAAATTTATCTCCACCGCCAATTCAGCCTCCCTCTCCACCCCAGCGCATGATATCATGTCCCCATTATGGTCCTGAGACCCAGGGTATTCTGGGATATGTAGTCCCCGAGGCTCCGGCTCCCCCTTTACTCACCTCCCTGTGGAAGGCTGCTGGGCTGGTATTGCCGGGAGTTGTAGTTCTCCATGACCTCTAGACCCTGGCCCCAGAGCCTTTACTCAAGGGAGGCAGAAACTACAACTCCCAGGGATGCCCGGCTGCAGCAGGTGGGATCGGGGCTGTTGATATCAATATGGCGGTTGTCAGCCAGACAAAGACAGTCAGTCTGATGTGATTGAGACAAGGGAGGTTTTCAGGGGGAGACTGGGATATAGGGGCCTCCCCTCCCCCTTTCCTCTTCCTGCGCCGGCCTCAAGCCCTCCCCAGCCCCTCCCGTTGGGCGCCCCGCGCGGAAGATACCCCTCCCCCTCCCGCTTCCCTCCTCCCTACCTCAGCCCTTCGCATTGGGACGCTGGGGAGGGGGCTGTGCCGGGCGGAGAGAACTCAGCAAGGATTCTGAGGTGAGTCGAGAGATTTGAAGCCGGAGTGCCTCAAGTATGTTACTTCTTTCTCTTAAAGAAAAAAAAAAAAAATTGAGGGGTCTTGGGGAGAAAGTGAGAGTGGGAGCCAGGATGGGTCTCGAGCGGCCGCAGTGAGAGGAGGGAGGAAGCGGGGAGCTTCGCAGAGGGTCACCCCGAGGCGGGTTGTGGGGTGGGGCAGTTTGTGGGGGGCAGTAATGGAAAGGCGTCGGCTGTTCCCCAACTCTTTGAATTGGGTGGAAGGTTTGAATTCTGGAGGTGGGGGTCTCCTGCGTAGAGTTTGGGAAACTGCGAGGTGGTTTTGAGGTGTGTCGGTTTGTTTGGGGCGTACAACTGTTTTAAACTGTGTGACGCGTCCTCGGGTGCTGGGCTCGTCTAGGAGGAATGTGTGGAGATGGGAAGTTAGATAGCCACAGTCCTCGCTTTCCTGGGCCTGGAGGCGTGCGTGTGTCCTGGCGCTGGACGTTTGGGCTTGCGACGTGGTGCGGGGTATCTGGGCTCAGCAACTCGTCTGTGTCCCATTGCCCGCTCACTCTTCGCCACCCGCCTTCGTCTCCTCCCCTAGACCAATCTCCACCCCAAACTCCGGGCTGGAGGACTGTAGAGATGGTGTGATGTGGAGATGGATCTTTGCATCCCGAAGTCGGCAGATACATGGGAAAGGAAAAGTGTTTCTTAATATTTTATTCCGGAACCGTGTTTTGGTTACACGATTGGGGCTACTTTGAAAGGCGTCCTCCACCCACCTTCACCCCGAAACAGTAGGTAGAGGCATCTTGTTATCTTTGCGTTCAGTAGACGAATAATTACTTAAAATTCGGGGACTTAGGGTGGGGATCCGGAGTGCTGGATCGCATACATGCCTATGTCTTCTAAAGAGACTGAATGTTTTTGTGTCCTGAGATAGGGCGACTTATTTTTTTGTAGTAATAATTAAAAAAAAAACTATTGGAAATTATTAGCGGGGAGGGATGGGATGCGCCGAAAGGCGCTGCTTGTGTTTTTCTTCCACCCCACCCTGTTCTCACATTCGCCTGAAAGCTCCTATGGAAGAGTGAGGAAGCATTGGGTGAGTGAATTGAAGAATGCAGTTGGCAGTAAAGATAATACACTGTGTGAAGTTGAATAGTATAAAGTGATTGCTGTTTTTGTTTAGTCTGAAGCTTTAAAAAAAAATCTCACGTATCAGATAGGGTAGAGTGATGTGACTACTTCATTTCTCTAGAATCCTTCAAGTGTAGAAACCTTTGCCTTGTCTCTTCCGTATTTCCTCTTTTCCTTATTTCTTTCCTCCCTCCCTCTTCCTTCCTTGGCATATATTTTTCTTCCTGATGGATATAATACCTCCTGTGCCTTTTTTTTTTTTTTTTTTTTAGTTTGTACTAATATGGTTGTGCTTTTATGGTTTGACTCTAAAATACATCGAGTAAAAAAGACCTGTTTGTTTTTATTTTGCATTTATGCCACAGGTAATTATTGCATTAATCAGGTATGCAGTGCTTTGCATTAAACTTGTTAAAGTTGCACAAATAAATTGCTGGATCTAGCTGATATGTCTATAACTCTGGAAATTTGATTTTCTTTCAATTTTGAATTAGAGTTAGAGGGAAGAGGAGTGCAGCATCTCGTTTCTCACAGTCTTTAATATTTAATAACATTACACCGGGAAAATTTAAGATCCTGTATTTTGTACTTCCTTCAATTTGAAACGTAAGTTTGTCAATAACCTTTTTATGTGACACTTTTTAGTGTTGTAGACTTCTAAATGAAGGAATTGAATAATTTCTATTTATACTGTTGAGGATTTAATGTATTTATGTATATCATTGGGAATTTACCAATTCTTAAATCTGCTACTTATCATAAGGAATGTTTAGATTCTAGAGTAAAAACTAATTTTAGAGTAAAAAACTAAAAGTCATACAGATACACTGTATAATTTTATAGTAGGTTCTGAAACCTTTGATTTAAAATTTCTGTTGTTGGTCATTCACATAGAAAAGGGGACTATAAACACAAAATAGCATACATAGATTGACCTGAATAGAAAAACCATTGACGTATCTTTTAAATCCCAAGTTTAATATAAAGAATATGTTATTATAAAGCTGAGCCTTTAGTTGTTAGATTTAGGGATTTCTAGATTTACTTTTTTTAAGCTTACATCTTCAATCGAAACATTACTTTGCAAAAACTGGAGAAAAATCCTGTGTAACTACATAGTAGAGTGTTTTTGATTTTCGGAAACACACTTTGATGGTCGTTGAATTAAAAAAATGTTTAACAATTATCTTAGCTATAAAATGTTTGTTAAGAGTAGAAAAAATAGTGTTCACTTCACCCACCCTTTTTGCTTGTTTGTTTGTTTCCATCTATGGAAATGCAAAATATTTACTGGGAAAAATGTTCATTAAACTTTTTCTGGCTAGTAGTTGCATCAAAATCATTATAGGTATACCAAATACATTCATTACATTCATTGGGCTGATTCTGTTGCATTTGAAGCACTGAGGCATTAAAATGATGTAAAGCCTTTACTGCAGGTTAAAGCATAAAATACTCTCAGCATGTGGAAGTCATATGGCTTACGAAAATGTAGAGAACCAGGACATTGGTGCCAGTCCAGCTTTAAATTTCATCTCGTGACTGTAAAGACATTTATTTTAATGTGATTATTTCTAAAAATGTTGCATTTATTATGGGAAATTGAAAATCCAAACTGTTTTAAACCAATCTGTTGCTAGTTTTGTGTATAGTATATAGTGAACAATATTTGTCCTCACAAATGTGCATCAAGGAAAGGCATCTTTAGCTTACTGTTGAATAAATGCATTAGTGAGGCTTTATTTTCACTGCTGGGCAAATTTCAATCTTCCAGGCCAAATCCTTAAAGCATTAATACTAGAATCTTAATAACCCAATATTCATAAATTTTAAGATACATTGCAACAAATCTATCATTTCATTCTGGCAATGTTTGTGGCAAATGTTGATTGGAATTCTATTGCTTGTTTCAGTATATGTTGCATACATTAGGAATTTTCATCTCAGCTTGTTCTTTTTGAGTCTCCTATATGCTATATCAGTCCATCCCAGTTTTAATTTTTCAGACAGCTACCATGTTTCCTATAAAAGCATATTTGTTTTCAGTTCTTTACATTGCAGTTCTCATTTTTATTATTTTTATATGCAGTTCTTTAAATTTGAATTATTTCTCTTGGGAAGTATAAAATTATCTTAGAATGTTATTCTTCATAAGTGAAAGTTGGCATACTCTCAACTTTTTTAAAAACATGAACATTTATAGGTAAAAGTACTCAGTGAAAATATATTGGTTTTGTTTGTTTTCTGTACCTGCTTTATTTAGCTTTTTGGCTTCCAGAATCTCACTTTACTGTTCTTTGGTTGGTTTTTCTGTTAACTGCTGGCTCTTCTTTCTCAATTTTGCAGAACTTTATAAAAAAATTGTAGTGTGCCTTTATGTTTCTTTATATATTTACCAGACATGCAAAACATAAAAGCCAAGCTGAGACAAAATTGCAGGAGACTAAACATTGGCTTAAGCTGGGAACCAAGGAGTAACCACCAGCACATGCTGTCCAAAATTTAGGAGCTTGGAGATTTTCAGTATTATTATAAATCACTAATTTAACAGATTCTTCAACATACAGTGTGCCTTTATGTTTCTTTATATATTTACCAGACATGCAAAACATAAAAGCCAAGCTGAGACAAAATTGCAGGAGACTAAACATTGGCTTAAGCTGGGAACCAAGGAGTAACCACCAGCACATGCTGTCCAAAATTTAGGAGCTTGGAGATTTTCAGTATTATTATAAATCACTAATTTAACAGATTCTTCAACATACAGTACTTGTGGAATGAGAGTGATTGGTTTGAAATTTTTCTCAATATAAAGTAATGTGTGATGTAGATTCCTAGCTTCAGCTATCCTTTATATGGCCCTTACTAGACTTAGCGTCCATTATAGGCACAGAATAAAGATTTTCCCAAGTGATTATTTGGTGATACTTTTAGTTGGGCTGGAGGTGTAGTTCAGTGATAGAATGCTTGTATCCCTAGCATCACAAAAACAAAACAAATAAAACCAAAAAAACCACTATCACCACAACAAAAACTTTTAGTTAACATCTGTTTAAACATAACCCCATGCTTTAGATAACTTATTTTCCTTGTCCTTAGATGAAACAAGTTGGAAATTTACTATAACATTATCTTGAACACTTTCCAAGAGCATTCAGTTACTAGAAGGCCTTGGCTTTCACAATAGTTTTACCCTCACAGTGGTAATAAGCTGGAAGGTACACTGTTTTTCAAGCAATTGTTGTAATTTTTTTTTTTTTTTTTTTTTGTACCGGAGACTGAACTCAGAACCTTGCACTTATGAGGCAGGCGTGGTGCCACGGAGCTAAATCCTGGACCCCAGTTATAATTTTAATTCAGTATTTTACAGATCCTAGGTTATGAGCATGTGGAGTTGTCTGTTTTTAACATTTGTGAACAAAAGGAAAAAATATAACAATAGTTTGGTTTAGCTTTGATACAATTATTATTTTAAGTTTTGTTTTGACTTTTGAACGGATGGTCCCAGACTCTTCTTTTGATAAAATTATTCTACTCAAATGGAATTTAGTTTTTTTCTTACGCTTAGAGTGCTGATTATGATTAAATATTTACTAACTTCCACATATTGGATATATTCTCTAGTTTCTTTGTCCATCTTATGTCCAGTGATGGTCCACATAAGTGTGTATTGAAAACATTTACCAGAACTCAACCATATATACACATTAAATTGTGGAACTTGAAGATATATAGTGATTTTTTTTGTTTTTTTTATACTGACAGTTTTTAATATAAGGAAAGTCAAATGCTGTGGGTACTGCTGAAATGGGGATGACTTGATACTGAACCTATCTGCCTTAAAATTTGGTAAGGCAGTACAGTGGACCCTTGGGTTACGACTGACCTCATGCAAACAATTTCGGTTATGACCAGAATCTTAGTTTTAACTTAGGACCAAAGTTTTGAATTATGACCTGAATGCCATGGTTGTAAACAAAGACTCACAATGCCAGAAAAGTGCCTGTAAGTGTACATAAGCATCAGTCTGAGCCCAGATGTGTGATTTTGGTCAATGCTTTATATAATCACCACAATTAACTGCTATCAAATTGGCCCCAGGAAAGGTAGAAAAGAAGCTGAGGAAGGAAGGAAAGTAAAGAAAGCAATCACAATCAAAAAGGAGGAAATTGTGTAGTAATGAGAGTGGGTTTGTGAGACCAGTCTCACTGATTGACACAACATGTTGAAATCCACCATCTCAACAATCTTACAGAGAAAAGATTTGTATAAGGAATCTAGTGTTGCTAAAGGTGTTACTCAAATTAGTCATGATCAACAGTGTTAGACAAGGTATCCACACTATCAGTGTGGATAAATGAAAGAGATGGCAGGTTATATAGTGTATCTGAGACTATAATATTTGAAAAAGCAAGGGCTATAAATGCAGATATTGTAAAGGATAATCTGTCAACAAGTGAAAATAGTAAAACATTTTGTGCTAGTAAGGAGTGGTTTCACCGTTTTAAAGGGAGAGCTGGGATTCATAGCATGACTATGCATAGTGAAGTAGCCAGTGCTGATAAAAGGGCTGCTGAAAATTACATACTGTATACCACTTTGAAATGATGACACGGAAAAATGGCTTTTGCTGTCATCAAGTTTTCAACTGTGATGAAACTGGCCTTTTCTGGAGGAAAATGCTCAGTAGAACATAATTACCCAAGAAGAAAAGAAAATGCCAGGCTTCAAGCCTATGAAGGATAGGCTAACCTTATTGCTGTGAGCCAGTGCAAGTGGTGACCTCAAGATAAAGCCTCTCTAGATTTATCATTCTGAGACCCCCAGAGTGTTCAGAAAGCATAAAGTTGTGAAGAATAGGCTAGATGTGGAGATGTAACACAAAAGCGTTGGTAACAAGAGTACATTTTCTGGAGTGGATCAGGGAGGCTTTGTGTCATACTGTTAACAATTACCTAGAGAACCAAGATTTACCACTCAAGACTCTCCTCATCATGGACAGTGCTCCTTACCCATGAGGTTTGGAAGAAGAATTGGCTGAAGAATTTCCATTGCTCTAGGTAGAGTTCCTCCGACCTAATACATAGAGGAGTTGTAACTCCTCTACTGCAGCCTATGGACCAGCAGGTTATAGTTAACTTTAAGAAGCTATACACTAAGGAACTGTTTCCAAAGTGCTTCCAGATGGTTTCAGATACAGATTTAACCCTTACAGAGTTCTGGAAAGAACATTACAACAATCCTTTCCTTTGTGGGGTTAATTGAATAATCCTGGGTCAGTGTCTCTTGAAGCACAGATCTGCAAGAAAGTAGATATAAGAAAGTATGGCCTGAAATTATACGTAGGAGAGACTGCAGGCTGTGTAGGGGAGCCTAAGCCTCCTCTCTCATTCTTCCTTCCTTTCTTACCTTCTCTTTCTCTCTTTCTTTTTTCCTAAAAGTGTTTTGTGTATTACATTCAAGTAAATTACCTTTCCTCTTATATGTCTTCAGCTTTTTTTTGGTATTTACTACTTTACTCACTTATACTTTTGCATATCTTTGTCTTACCAGTTAAAACCTTCTTCTTAAATCCAGTTACATCTTTCTGTCTGAGGAGGCATTTC